GAGCGTGTACTTAAGAAGGCACATGAAAGAAGTGGCTTCAGGTACCCAAGGTGTTAACAGCCACTCAGTGGGCTCGATCTCGTCCCGGGCCTACTGGCACATGTGCGTTGGTCAGCTGGCTGCTGGCAGTCACGAGACAGCTGATCGCCGCCAGCCTGAGTCACGCTGACAGCGTAAGGACGCTGCCCCTGGAGCCACCCCTGGTGCGCTGACACCGCCTGGGCACAGACTGCAGCACAGCTTTTCAAGCTATCGTACAACCACATCCAGAACGGCCGGCTTTGATGGACGCACCTGCCGATGAGACGGAACCAGGGGAACCGCTCGTAGAAGGGGGTCCATCCCAGGCATGGTGTGCGTGATGACATCGGGCGCCGTGGGGCTCAGCTCCGCCTCTTGGCGGTACATCTCTCGGATGACCTCCAGCCGCTGTCTGTCGGGTCAGAGGGCACCGATCACACCGCCGCTCGGCGCACACGGCGCTCAGGGCGACACAGGCGGCGGACGGTGGTGTGGGGGCCGGCGCAGGCGGCGGACGGTGGTGTGGAGGCCAGCACAGAGCTGGAGTTCTTTACTGGACTGCGGTTAGCACGATGTGAGACAGGAAACAGCACGGGGACCGGCGAAAAAGTCAAGCTACGGGAGTTGAACTGGAAGTGGCGCGGCATGCGCTGGAGCTGTGTGTGCTGCGGCCAGGATCTGGGCACATAAACTGCGCGCCCAGTTCTGTTATTCGGGCGGATGTAGTATGTTCGGGACAATATTCCGTGAAGTGTGCTCGCGGCCGAGTCTGCCTGGATTTGGCCCAAGTTTATTTGACCGTTTTGAATGATCTCATATCAATAGAATACATGGGATGGATGAAACACAAAAGTTAAAAGTCAAGTTATGTACAATGGCGATCGAAATACCGAAGTCTCCGACAAAAGGGCGTTACTGGTGAACATATGGATTTGGCTTAAACCAAGTGTAACGAGCCGTTTGCAAGGTCCTACTGCGGTCTCAAAAGCAAACACGAAGTGTACGCTTCATGAGCTAAACGCAGTCAAGTGAACTGTATTCTGGTAGGCAGAAGCACGCGGGGTGAATACTTCACAGCCTCAACAAGGAACCATTAACATCCAAGTTAGCTGGCATGCAGCATGCGGGCGTGCAAAACAAATCAGAGGGTAAGAGAACAGATAAAATTGCTCAGCAGCACAACTCGTGCTGGCGAAGCCTATGTTAAGAAAGTAACAGTCAATAACTCTTCCATCTCATGATACCTATCACAGCAAGGTTGACATTTCAGCCGGCTGAAATCAGTCTCTACCAATTCCTGATTTTACCGACTTAACTGACCGATTAAAACCGGCACCGATTAAAACCGATTAAAACTTGAATAAACAAGTTGCATTGACCTAGGGTCAGCTATCACGGTCCAAGGTCAAAACCGACCTGTTTTTTGCTCGAAAGCTTGCTGCATGCAGTTGTTTCTGGTGCTCATTTTGAATTTCTTAATAACAGGGACTGTTTTATACATCTTCCATGAACTTTCTTAACGTCTGAATAGGTCATTGGCCTAAAATGATCCATGCTGACATTTTTCTTTTTGGGAACATGCTGCCCAGCGTAATGCTTGACGCTTTTTCAGGTGCACAAGGCAAAACAGTATTGTATGATCTTGGCCATCATGAACTTTAAAGGGTCACACAAGGCCACTGGCCTTAAACGAGCATCAGTAGCCTTTTGCTTAGAGCGGATATCTATGTTCAAGGCATTTGCATGATAAGGTATTAGGGCACTTAAGACACCAATCTGAAGTTCGCCCTTGTTTGACTTCATTTGATCCAAAAGGTCGTGACCTAGAAACCTCAAATTTTGACACAAGTGATTTCACATACAGGCCAAACACTCTGTAAATTTGGTGCTTCTAGCTCACTGAATTTTTGATATCTAATTGCATCAAATTGATCCCGCACCTGAACGAATGGCATTCAACCAGCCAACCGGGCGCTTGTTAGCCCTTGCTTTGGTAGGGGATGATGTAACCCCCAAAGTTTGTTTGCAAATACCTCTCCAAAATATTGTGCAATTGCGACCTCAGCAGCCTTTGGAGGCGTCCATTGCGCGTGTTTTCAAACCAGAAACGTGTTTCTAGCTTTTCTGGTTTCGGGGCTACAACGGTTTTTTGAGGAAATCTGCGCGGCGATCTGCGACCCGCGCGGGCGGCGGGCGGCGACCAGCGATGCCGCAGAACGCGCGCTGCGGCCGACATCGTTACATTACCGGAGTCATACATCATGAACTTATTCCCAAAGCACATAATGATATACACAGTTGCACTCAGAATTGAACAATATGCGTGCTTCTGTGTGTTTTGTGTCGCGAGATGGCGTGGTTTGGTAGGTATGATGTTGTGAATTTAAAAAGCGCGCTTTTTATCAAATTCCACCTTTAGAGTGCCATAACGGGAGCAATGATTGACCTATTACAATGAACTTGTGTGTATGGGCATGGAACCAATGCGTGACCAGCAGCCGTCCGCAGACAGTTAGCTGTTTACTTTTGCAAATACGGCTATACGCAGATGCGCGTGTCAATTGCAGCCATACAACCAGTTCTTCCCTTTGCGCTTGGACTCTTCGCTCTTACTGAGTGATGAAAGCGATTAAAAGTATGACTTTTGAGATGGAACCCTGGAAGCTTGCCAATTCCAAACCAGCGGCAAGAATGGGCGACGCGTTATCCAACAGATGGCAGTCGTCCAATGGGCCTTGGCACATACGTTTTCAGGCTGAACAGGAGACCAGCGTTCTCTGACCAGTCCGCGGCACGCCTCTGTAATGACGCCCCACCGCATCTGGTCAGATCGAGCCGCATCTGGTCAGATCGAGCCGCATCTGGTCAGATCGAGCCGCATCTGGTCAGATCGAGCCGCATCTGGTCAGATCGAGTGATTAATAGAACGGCGTTAGGCGTTAGGCGCTCTTACTTCTCACGCAAGGGCTTACAATGCGGTTGTTAACCTTTGCTCACTATTTGTCAAAGTGCCGGCCATCCCCAACCGTTAATGTTCCACGGAAATCAAAAGCATATGTCACCAAACTATGTTTAATCCCAGGATTTTCTAACGGAAACGTGACGTACGTCTTCGTGCTCCCTTTTATGGAGCACCAGCGGCTGCAGTGGCCATATTAACACTCAGAGGCCATGGCGCAACCACGGTTCGAACCCGGACCTTGAAAAGGCGCTAACCACTCGGTCATGTCCCTCATTCCCAGGACGTGACTGCCCTGCTCCGAAAAAAAAAACAAAAACACAAAAAACGGAACTGTCGGCAGAGCGCCACAAGATATAGTTAACGCTAGCTCTGTCAAAGCCCTGTCATCGCGGCACCCTACATCTGGTGATATTGACCGACACTGCGTGCCCTGAGGACGCGCCAGGACACACGGGTCATGCCAGCCAGCTCAACCCGCCCCAGGCCACGTGGTGCACCATCGGACTCGCGCGATCATGCCGGCAGCGGTGACCAGGCGCTGGCTGTCCGGGCGCTTCCCAGTCAGGTCTCGACATCTCGGCACCATCGGACTCGCGTGATCGTGTCGGCAGCGGTGACCAGGCGCTGGCTGTCCCGGCGCTTCCCAGTCAGGTCTCGACATCGCAGCACGACGAGGCCCATGGATCTAGCTCAGTGACCCGGCTCATACAAGCTTTCCGTCTAATATCAGCGAGTAGCCGCACACTGGCCGCGATAATCGATGCTGTGCGTCAGCCCCCAGCTGGCATCGCCACTGCCGGCAGTCGCTGCGGGCCTGGCGGCGAGGGCGCTCGATGGACGGCACCGAAGCACTGCAGCGTGTAGCAAGCTAAGCCCGCAGCCGTCGGCTGTCTGTGCAGTGCACACGCACATTTTACTGAGCAGGGCGCTGAGCCCGGGCAGAGCGGGCAGTCGGCCGCGCCGGGGGCCGGACAGGCAGCTGGCCAGCAGGCCGCCAGCTGGCAGGTCAGGCGTCTCGGGGCTCAGCGCCTCCTCCCGGAGAGCGGCTGGGCTCTGCCGCGCCAACTCCAGCCGGCCAGCTACGGCAGCACCGCCCACAGCACCGTGTCAGGAGCAGCGGAGGAGGCGCCCTGCTGCGACGCCGCCCAGCCCCACCCCTCCCAGCGCGTCTCAACATTCGGATTAGAGATGCACAAGCTATAAAACCTGACACGGACCCTGTACCGCCACCGTCCTACAGAAATATTTGTCAGGTTAGAGTCAACCACGTTTTACCGTTTCCAGCAGTGGCTCTGGCCTCAAATGTGTTTAATTTCAGACCTAGTACCGGCAAAGTACTGGCATTGTCAACCCAAACTCCGATGCAGTACCGCCGGTGCTGACAATGGGGCTGCAGGTACCATGGTCCCAAAATATTGCATCTCTTATCTTAACAAAACATAAACCAGATACACACACAGTGCGCTATCATTTGAGAGCTGCGTACGACATGTATTTGCTGATTCTGCATTCGCCGCATTCGTCACGGACTCGGGTAGCCCCGCATTCGCCGCTACCCATGATGCGCCAGGCAACAGCAGCAAACGGCGCCGCGCCGCGCCACGCCGAGCTGACCGCACCACATACGTCAGCTGCTGGGATGCCACAGCCGGCTGACACGTACCGCAGCTTTTCGATGCTCCAGTAATGGGTGGCGCCGTTCTTTAGGTCCTGCACTTCCACGGCGACCACCGTGCGCGACGTGGGGTGCAGTGCATCCTCCTCGTCCTCGTCGGAGGAGGAAGAGGCGGAAGACAGCAGGTCGGCTGGCAGCGGGCTGTACATGGTGTGCGTCATCAGCGTGAACTGGAACTGCACCTGTGGCAGCGACAGAGGGCAGCGTCAGGCCGTCAGAGAGCGCCGACACTGGAACTGCATTCGAGGCGATACAAGCTAACCCATTGAATACAAGCGCAGGACAGGACCGACTAGGCTCGTGGACTCGGCTGGGGCGTCACGCCTGCGCCGCGATGTTCACCTTCTTCTTAAGCTCGACGCTGATGGCGTTAGCCTCCTTGAGGAAAACGGCGTTGCCCCAGAGGTCGTCGCGGAGTGAGGTGAACTGATGGAAGCGCCACTTCTGGAAACAGGTGGCCGCCAGCTGGTAGTCGCGCTCTGTCCACGGCACCTCCCCCTCGAACAGCGGGTTTACTGGGGGAAAGAGCAGCACTTGGATTGCATGGCCCTGCTGTGCGGCATGTCGCCCTCGAACAGCGGGTTCGCTTTGTGACAAGGCTCAGCTGGATCGCATGGAATCACTCCAAGACAACTCTCTCTCCGGAACTGGAGGCTCACCTGGTCATAGAGAATCACATAAATTAAATGGTCCCTTTCAGAAACTACAGGTTTGCCAACTAACACAGAAATGGCCTGACCGCGTAACGTCACCTTACGATCCCTTTAGAGAAATATCAACGAAGTAGCTCTTAAGAGCATGCACGTCACATCATTTTCGAACGTTAGAGCCACGACGTTCAATTACAAGGAAAGGCACTCGACTCGCGCCGGCTCAAGCGCAGCTTCTGCACAGGTACTGTCATAGGGCATGCTGAACGTCATCAGCAGCCAACATGTGTACCGTATATGTCGTCTTCCGTATTGAGCTCCTCGGTGTTTGTGTAGGAAGAGTACATGGACATGGTCATGCTCTGCTCCTCAACTTGCTTTTGGAGGGCGTCTATCCGGGCCTCGTAATTCTGAAAAAAAGACAAATGGTGAAGCTCATGCAGCGGACAAATCAGCTACGAACCGCGTGATGGTTTGCCCTCAGGGGACAATTACAATAAATCGCCTTCCATAAGCGAGATAGATATGGTTAACATTCTTGAGCTTCACTTGTCGACTCCGTCATGAAACCAGGTCTCCAGGATTTGTTACGAAGCGAGCTGGTGATCATCTACGTGAGCGTGCACACATGTCTCCCAAAACGATACCTGTCGCTCCTTTTCATATTCTTTCTTCCTTTCCTCCTTTTCCTTTCTAAACTGTTCCTCCATGTTCTCCAAGCGTTTCTCCATCTCTTTCTTCAGGTCGATGCCTTCAAAAAATGAACCGGCACTTTGTTATACACTTCAGATGAAATCATGCCAATCATATTAACACTATGTTCGAATCATGCGAATTGCTAGACTCTGGTAAGCGTAAAACCAATAAAATGTCGCACATTGGGGAAAAGAATAACATCTGAGTGAATCTGGGTTACTCTGAGTGACAAGTAGAAGCTCTGGTTCTCTTGCTAGCGTATCTAAACAGTTGGAATGAAAACACACGTGCCTTACGTTTTGACCAAACACAGCCGCAATTTTCACACCAAAGCTCCCGAACTTCTGCAACGCATTCTCGCCAGCTTGACTGGTGTTAACTGCAGTGGAAACGCTCTGTCCTTTTATCGAAGGGCGGATTTTCTTGAACATCTCTAAGCTTAGTACTGCGATACAATCGCAACCAGTCCTGGACAAATATAAGTTAAGCTAGTAGCTTTGAACTGGCACCACTATGCAACTAATTGGGTAAAATACTATTTATCACTGAAAGTAACTAAGAAACAGCCCATTTTCAAAGCATTGTAGTGTTCAGCCTTGGTGTGGTTGGCATGACCAGCGTCAGAGCGACCAGGCACCGGGCGGCTGACGACGACGCGGGTCAATACCTTGCTTTTCGAGCAGTTCCACCTGAGCAAATTGCCAGTCCAGGGACTCCGCAGACGGTGCTGACTCGTCCAATGCCCGGCCTCGCTTCTCCCATGCTGAAAACGCTCAGCGGCGTGAAACATATGAACAACACGCATTAGCTAACTCAATGACCAATGAAGAAGTTCGTCAAAATCTGACTCTTGTCGTACAACAAAAACGGAAAAAGTTAGGTGCGCGACGGGCGGGACACCTGCTTTCAAAAGGGCAGGCCATACATGAGAAACATGCTTCATTCTCGTGAGTAGTTTGTTGACAATGACCCGTCAATGCTCCGCCACATGCCGCGGCATGTGCTCGGTTTGCGGCGTGGCGCGCACGACGGCACCTGCAGCCGGGCCGGAGCACCGACCTTGCTCGGGGTGTGTGAAGCGGAACACGTGGTTCTTGCCCAGGATGACCCGGCTACCGGTGGTGAGGACCAGCGGCTGGCAGACGCTGCGGCCATTCACGTAACACAGCGCGCCCTCGTTCGGGAATAGCATCACCACGCCCTCCCTGGACGACATGAATGGTCACAATCAGAACGGCAAATCTGAATAATAAGGATTCGAAGATCACGAGTTGCTTTATACAACGCATGTACACGTTGAGCCCAATCATCTTTAAAGTAGTCAACTAACGGTGACACTATGTGTGGTTAAGATGTATTTGACTCGGATGGATAGTCAGGTAGGAGTCATTTTATCAGAATCAGAAAACACTAATGGAACTGATGGGGCCGGAGTTTATCACAACGACACCGTGGTGGAATAAGCCTTGGATGGGAACATGTGCACGTCTGGTCTCCCTTCTGGTCATTCTGCTCCTTTCCCTGCTGACCGTCATAGGAAGCGGGATACGTTCTCTTCAGAGGCATGCGAGCACTGTGCAAAGAAGCGGTCACCGCTGCCGAACGACTTCACCAACGTCACCGTTACATAGGACGTCTGCGACAATGCTAACGCTCTGCACTTCATCACGAACCGGAGGCGCTAAGAGGGAAGTTTATCGCTGCAATCGCAACGACCCCAACAGCTGAACGTACCCTTCTCTTTCCCTTGCTCCCACCCCTCTCTCAGCGTAACTACAACGACCCCAACAGCTGAACGTACCCTTCTCTTTCCCTTGCTCCCACCCCTCTCTCAGCGTAACTACAACGACCCCCAACAGCTGAACGTACCCTTCTCTTTTCCTCGCCCCCACTCCTCTCTCAGCGTAACTACAACCACCTCAACAGCTGAACGTACCCTCCTCTTTTCCTTGCTCCCACGCCTCTCTCAGTGTAACTACAACGACTTCAACAGCTGAACGTACCCTTCTCTTTCCCTTGCTCCCACCCCTGCTGCAGCGCGGACGCCATGACACAGTGTTGCGATGGTGTTGTAGTCGCTCCCACCCCTGCTGCAGCGCGGATACCGTGACACAGTGTTGCGATGGTGTTGTGGTCGCTCCCACCGCTGCTGCAGCGCGGACGCCATGACACAGTGTTGCGATGGTGTTGTAGTCGCTCCCACCCCTGCTGCAGCGCGGATACCGTGACACAGTGTTGCGATGGTGTTGTGGTCGCTCCCACCGCTGCTGCAGCGCGGATGCCATGACACAGTGTTGCGATGGTGTTGTGGTCGCTCCCACCCCTGCTGCAGCGCGGACGCCATGACACAGTGCTGCGATGGTGTTGTGGTCGCTCCCACCCCTGCTGCAGCGCGGACGCCATGACACAGTGCTGCGATGGTGTTGTGGTCGCTCCCACCGCTGCTGCAGCGCGGATGCCATGACACAGTGTTGCGATGGTGTTGTGGTCGCTCCCACCCCTGCTGCAGCGCGGATGCCATGACACAGTGCTGCGATGGTGTTGTAGTCGCTCCCACCCCTGCTGCAGCGCGGATGCCGTGACACAGTGCTGCGATGGTGTTGTAGTCGCTCCCACCCCTGCTGCAGCGCGGATGCCGTGACACAGTGCTGCGATGGTGTTGTGGTCGAACTGCATTCCTGGAAAACCAGGCCACGGGGTTCGATCGCGAGATCTCAAGATCATTCGAGATGGCGGTTGAGTCGCCCTCGACCCCTGACGGCTGACCTGTTCTCAAAGATGCAGTGCTCGTTGTAGATGTGCAGGCCGATCAGCTGGATGTCCTGCGGTATGTTGGCTTCTGCGGAGCCGACGCGCGTGATGCCCTCCTTGATGTAGTAGATGAGACACTCGGACATGGACGGGTCCTCGTTCAGGTTCACCAGGTGCGGCGTCTGGAGCAGGCACAGGTAGCCGGCTGGAGAGAGCACGGACCACGAGCGCGACGGCGCCAGCACCAGAGCTCAGACCAGCACCAGAGTTCAGACCAGCACAGGAGTTCAGACCAGCACCAGAGTTCAGACCAGCACCAAAGTTCAGATCAGCACCAGAGTTCAGACCAGCGCCAGAGTTTAGACCAGCACCAGAGCTCAGGCCAGCACTTCAGGGCATACCATCGGCAGGTGCAACGACTTTACGGTAGCTTCTGCATCTAGTTATGTACCGTTGTTGGTAGCAGCATCACAAGTCCTAGAGGCCACCGATGCAAAATAAAAACGTTATTCAGCCCTGAAAAATCACTGCTCAATCGTCCTCCAGCTGCTGGTCTTGGACTTGAGGTCTCCAAGTCCACAGCAGAGGCCGTATCCTGCCCTTTCCTGTCAAAGTCAATGAACGTTGAAGGCAGTGAATTTGATGGCGCACCAGAGTGGCGTTAACATTACCTTTTTTGGAGAGAAAATGCCCACAGTAGCACCGTCCTCCTTGAGGGCGATGCCCATCTCGGCGAACACGGTCTCTCTATGCCGGCGAATGTCGTCTGTTTTTCTCAGCTTCTCCTCCCAGGTCTCATTCAGCTCTGTCAAAAAACGAGCACAAGAGACCAGTAGAGGCTGTCACCGCGCACACCAACTGTAAGTGTATGCAAACGCGACGCTCAAATACCGTCTGATCAGATAGGGTGTCTACTTCCATCGCGTGTCAATCTGCACTGCAGTAAATTCAGTTGAGTAAGGGCCATCTTTGAGCCTTTTATGGTTCATTTACCTCGTGCATGTTAACTTTCGTAAAAGACAGTCTCAACCAGATAATAGTGGCTGCAGAATACCGCCACGCTTTATGAACAGCTATTACACAGTGAGCCGATTACTATTTCCAACAATGGGAAGCGCTCCATTCGCCGGCTGACGACATAGCTGTCACGACTCTAATGGCCGTCGGATCGCTCACAGCATCCTCTAAAATGGCGCCTCGCAGTGGAATCAGGTCATCGAGGCGAGAATGGCCGACCATTGACCTGTTTTGGGCGGCATGTGAGCAGGCCGGCCAGGGTCAGAGGGTTTCGCAAAGCCATTGGTCGATGTTGGCCCAAGCGATCGACCGTCACCCATCAGTGCTGAGGGTCCGGCCGGTTCTGACCAAAACTCTCACCCCGTCCTCCTCTCAACTCCTCAGAGGAGGTCACATGAGGACACCGAAGCCCCCCTCACCGGGCTAGGTCACCAGAGTCTACTGTCTTATCTTTCAAAGCTGCAATGCCACCTGTGGAGCCGTTCTGGCCCCGCCCCAGACCAGCCCCGGCCGTTATAGCGGGAGTGGTGGCATGCCCTCAAGCACCGTCTGCCGACCTGCCATAATTTTCTCGTTGACCTGCAGCTGATGGACGGCAGCCTTGGCGGACGGCGGCTCGGCCGGGTTGGCGTTCACCGTCTCCTCCGTGCAGCTTTGGTTCATGGCGTTGTTCCGTAGCTCCTCTGGGGAGCGGCGTAATGTCACTGGCCCAGCACTGCGGACCCCTTCCGGTTTCGTCTCGCCACACACGACAGCGTTGGCGTGACTGAAGGATGAATGGTATCTTCACCAATGCCCAGTACCTGCTGCAGCCCTGGCACTTTTCTGTTTGACAGCTGAAACACGTAAATGTTTACCACATGCACACGTTGACGCACACGTGCGCCAACAACGCGTGCCTTGCGTGGCACACGTTGTTGGCGACGTTAACAACGCTACCTTGTGTGCGTCAGATCCATTACAAATCCGCACCACGCAAATGGGGTGAGTTACACGAACCTCCTTCGAAAAGCTATTGACCATGTGGTCATGGCCTCGAAGAGGTGAACAGCACAACGCTTTGGAAGCCACACCACGCAGAACATTAAGCACTTCTTCGTGAAGTAGGGTGTGGCGCAGCAGGCGTCACAAAACAGCATACCAGCCAGGCAGCCGCGCAGACTCCATTAAGGGCGGCGGAAATATGAAATGGCGAGGTGCCCATGGCGTTTGTCTCACATTACGCCACCAAAATGAACCCTGCTTAACAGAAGGTTTCGAAAGGCCACTAAATGAACTATAATTATATCTTGAACCAATGTAAGATTTACGTTGCTTGGCAGAAATCTCAATTTGTTGCATACCTCCTACAATGAGAGTGCACCTGCAGTTCGATTGCAACATCTAGTGAATGTTTATGTTTGAGACCTTTGTCTCGAGTGCAAACATTGTGCGCAGAAAAACTTTAGTGATACTAGCACCATAGAATGCGCTGAGCTGGCTCACTGGGTAGCTTTGGCTGGGTACACAGCAGACATCTTTACAGTCGCTCTCAAACAAAACGTAAAAATCTAGCCTCGCCCGTTTTATATTGACAGATCTAGAGCCCAAGTGCTTTGAGTCAGCATACTCGCAAGTGTATCACTACCAGTTTCTCGGCGGTCTCCACAAATGTGATTGATCGTTCGACACCGCAGTGGGAAGGACTTCCGCCGCCCCGGTCTCGACGGTGGACAAAATAAGCGGTAGCTGCGCTCTAACCACCGTGGGAGCGCACACCTATCTACACATAGGTGCCGCTTCAACAATGAGCAAAGCAAGGTGCTGTGCATTTCAAAGATAGACTTGCAGCCTAGCAGGTTCAAAATCAGGGAAAACACGGATGTCAGTTGCTTTGCGCGCAGGAACGCCTATTCATCTTGACATCAGCACATACAGGCCGTGATGATCGGAGAAATGACGCCAGCCTGCAGTGTCGGGCGTCCATAGACTGAACTGGATAGCTGAGACAGTAGCAATAGCCCTTTTCCTCGAAAAAAAAACCAGGAGGATGGAGATATAGATGGGTTAATATTTCGACAGCATGTCTTTATTGAAACAATAGCAGAAGTTTCTGCTTTTGTTTTCATAAAGGCAAGTTGCCGAAATATCAATCCAGCTATATACTCACTCTCCTGTTTTTCTCCGAGGAATAAGGCGATTGCTGCCGTTTTATCTATGTGAATAATGTTCCTCGCAAATGCACTGAACAACTTACGCAATTTTGAACTGGATAGCTACAAACATTGATGGTCTGGCTGCCGGGTCACCTTCGCTTTGCTTCTGATACTTGTGGTGCTCTTTTGCTGCGCATATTTGCTGCATCAGACGACAGTTCTGATTGGTAGTGGCACCTACCGCTTGTGGTGGCGAGTAAATGTCAGTACTACCATCACTATGAAACGGAAAAGCACGCCGACATAAACCAACAGCTATGGTTTAAAGAGAGCACGTTTTTGCTGTTCTTGATAATCATGATTCCGGCTTGCGACCACGAACGACATGTACAAATGCAAATCCTCACAATCGACTATTGCAGAAAGCATAACTAGCAACAAAGCACCACATATATCAGTGGCGCGGCGAGAAGGATAACTCGAGAGGCGACACGTTGATATCTGTCACCGCCCTATTCTTCTACCGATTTCTGAAGACAATGCATAACGGCCGATAGCGGAGCCTACATAGCGGAACTTGGCATAAAGCGATGCAAGCTGCAGAACAAATAGGCGGAAGACCGTTGCTACTCACGGGCCTTATGTCTATCGTTCGAGTAAATGACACTGCCGTCTGAAATGGCGCAGGATAATTATCAGTGTCAATAACTGTCATGATATATCCTTGCGTAGACCGCTCAAGTGTTTCTGAACACCTTTCCTGGCGGCTAAACCCCCAGAACAAGTGAGTCCAGCAAGCAGCCAGCCAGGAGACCTTGCCACCGAGTCACCGGGTGCATCCTCGTCCCCCCCCCCCCCACAGCTCATCGTGTGCCGCTTACCCTCCTCGACCTGGACGCCCTCGGCCTTGAGCAGATCACGCAGTCGACTGATCTCTTCCCGCAGCTCGCGTATCATCTTGGCGTTAGCGTCCTCGTTCACCACCGCCTTGCACATGATCTGCTTGGCTCGGTCCGCGTATCTGTCGAACATTTGCCCAGTGGACTGCCGTTCGTCTTCTACCCGAACGTGTCAGCAGCCCAGCTGTGTAGAAGGCTGTGCTATTGGTACGGGAAAGCACAGACAAGCGACGCACGAAAAATTTGCGATAGCAGCAACTTCTAACTCATGACGGGTACCGGCCAAAAACAACTGCATACGAAAACCTAAAATTCTAGTTGCAGTAGGTCGCCTTTTTAGAGCAGTATCGAGTGCGAAGGTCCGTGTCTGGGCGCACCGGACCATGGGGGCAACACGGCCGGCCGGCGGGGACCAGGGGCGCTCACCGCAGGGTGGAGAGCGTCTCGTCATAGTTGATGTCGGCCGGCGACAGAGCAGCCACCATGGCCGTCTTGCTGTTGCCGCCCAGGTTCTCACGTAGAAGCCAGGTCAGCACCGAGTCCCGGTACGGAATAAACTCGGCCTTTTTCTTCTTTTTGGACGCCTGTCGGCCACACGCCAGCTCAGGCCGACACCGCTCCCCTTGCTAACCAAGGGGGCCACCAGAGCTACTTCTTCATTTGTGATAGCGCATCGTTAGCGACCTAATGAAGCTGGCTCACATGATCACACAAGGCCAAGTTCAGGCCGCTGTGTCGCCCTTGCAATTTCTTTGCCGACAAAACATGCAGCTCTGGTTCCATTTTGTGTGTCATGTGAAAACAGCAAACGACGTGGGCCACTGGTGCCTATAAGTATGCTTTCTAGCATGAGTTTCTGCACGGTCTGGTTCCGTGACCTCTGAACGGACGGCAAGTCTCGTCCAAATGTGGGGGTCGCCGCGCTCGGGCGCACAATAAGCCTACACTCGCCGGCCGGTGATCGGGGCTGTGGCATGGCCAGCCAGCGGGGTTGCCGGCTGCCTCGGTTGACTGACGGCAGCTCCGGTTATGGCGTCATTTCGGCAAGATCTCACATACATCGCCGGCTGGAGCTTCAGCTCGGGCCCGACGGTTCGCGACAGCCCCTGGCGCGTTGTTCGAGCTCGGCATATTGCAGGGTTACGAGTAGGCTGACGCTGCGTTTACAGCCGAGCCTGCCATGCCCCGCTTTATGAAATACGTAGCAGCCCAACGCGCTATAGTTCCTTCAACGGCGGAGGCTTTGGCGTTCTTCGCTCGCTCATTACCATAGGAAGCTCCTCAAACATCCCCATTGCAGTGAACTAATCACTCGCATCACGAGAACCAGAACCACCCCAAAGACCGCTATTCGGTGGATGTCACTGCAAATTGAATGTCAATGAGTCGCCTGGCGTATTAGACCAAAAGACGGTCATGCATTCGCGTATAGCGTCCGTACGGGTATCCCAGTCCGCACGTGCATGGCGTTATTCACGCATTGAAAGTCTATTTTAACATGCGGTTCAAATACAATTGCCATAAGAACGTGGCCTCCTCTACACTTCAGACCACATGGCCACGTCCATTGATTAGCCTAGCAAGGGACAGTCGTATTGCCAAAGGAGGTGTCCATACGGCTACCCGGAGCCAGCGGGGCTGGGGCTTCGCGCCAATGGTCCAGTGACATCGCGCCGCTCGGCGACCTGGTTGGAATGTACGTACTGGTCAGGCGAAAAGGAAACAAGGACGCCAGCCGATCTAGGCTAATAAAACGTATCATGTAGTACGATAACGACCGAAAAGTTTGTTGTAGAACGGGCCACAGAGTGCTTGTGGCCGGCAAGAGACCGGCTGGGAAGGCAGGTCTGATAGTAATGTGGCTGCTTGGTCCACCTGACTATCGGGCGAGAACTGGTGCTCCGGGTCAGCAGGGGGACTCTGTCCGCAGGTCTGAGGGACTGGAGTCTGCGGTACTTACCGGCGCCGAGGACTGCCGCGAGGGAGGGGGGATGCAGCATCAGTACTACGGCACCGCTGCCCATTTTCATAGCGTCTGCTGACAATGTGCGGCACAGACCCTCATGCTTGGGGCTGGAATGATCAACTGATTAGCGCATCGGGCTCTCACGTGGCTAGTTCGGGCTCAAATACCGGCTGCTCCATGGCCCTGAACGCTAATATCCTAAGTGCAGCTGCTGGTGCTTCGTAAAAGGGGCGTGAGGACGTGCATCACTTCCCCTTAAAAAAAACAACCAACAAAAGCTCCTCCTGACTCCAGGTCTCCTCTGCGGAAATACTTGACATGCTCAGCCCTGTCTATCACACTGGAGAACTGAGCGGAGTAAGGTGCTGTATTGGGGTAACGCGATTAGGAATGAGTCACCGATACCCGCATCCCACGAAGTCATTTGCTGAGTGGACGCTCACCACTTCCGCCAGCGCTGAGATGACTTTCCCCAGAGTGGTCAGCGACTTGTTGATGTTGGCTCCTTCTTTCAGCCTGGTGCCCTTTGCGCCCGTAGAGTCAGCTCTTTCTGAGCCCGCCAGATCCACCAGTGATATTTTGCTGACCTAGCATCGAGGCATTCGGTCAGCCCATGTGGAGCAAAGGTACTTTGTGCGAAGGTCAGCCTACGTTGTTCGCACGCAAGGTACGTTCCGAGTGGTGACAATACCCTAACCCCTCCCCCTATCTTGAAAACTGCGACATCTTCGTGACAAGGTCATGGACGCTGCGCAAACATTCCGGGTCTAGAAAAAGCGGCTGAAGCTTTGCCAGCATCGACCGAATGAAATTTAGGCGAAGCTTCAAATCACGCATGCATTTCACTACACGGGGCAAATGGCTGTTTCTAACCAGTTTCTACAGGCTGCGAGCACACGATAGACGCGGCATTCACGCAATAGACGCGGCATTCACGCCCTTCCGAGCGGCATTCACGCCCCCCCCCTCTCCCCCCGAGCAGCATTCATGCCCCTCCGAGCGACATTTACGCCCCTCCGAGCGGCATTCACGCCCCTCCGAGCGGCATTCACGCCTCTCCGAGCGGCATTCACGCCTCTCCGAGCGGCATTCACGCCCCTCCGAGCGGCATTCACGCCCCTCCGAGCGGCATTCACGCCCCTCTGAGCGGCATTCACGCCCCTCCGAGTGACATTCACGCCCCTCCGAGCGGCATTCACGCCTCTCCGAGCGGCATTCACGGCTGCGAGTGTGCGAACCTTCTACGTCTCCTCCAAACCAAGTACGGACCTTCTCTGTCTCCACTCCCGAGACGGGGTCGCACGTCTTCTGGGCAAATATGATGGTGAAGACGGCATGCGAGCGGCTGGACGTTTCGTTCATGTTCGTGGCAGCCACCGTTCTGTGAGCAGAGCGGACGGACCCTCAGTACAGGCCGCCCGGAGGTCAGCAGAGCCCGGTAATGTCAGCGGCATGGCGGCAATCCCAGCGTCTGGTGGGAGTGCCCGAAGGTCAGCAGGGCCCAGCAACGTGGGGTCCACGTGCGGTAATCCCGACACCCGGTGGAAGGGCTGCACGATCATCAACGTCGCTGTTTTGAGATATGAAATCCGACTGCCCAAGCTTGGAAAGCTGTGGTACAGAATCTGGGCCCGGGTGGTGCGAAAGTTTGTAATGATATGGCGAGGGTACACTGTATGGCACAATATAGCGCCAGACCACCACGCCGAGTCCGGCCACGGGTGGCCAGTCTGGACAGCCGAGTCTGCGCAATCTGCAGTGTGTGGTGGGAAGTCTGTCTCCCAGCCAAACGCGCCATTCCTGGCAGCCGAACGTTTGCACCGGCCTGAGAGCCCAGCCAGGAGGGCCGACTCAGGCTGCCAAACGCTCAATGGGAGACGGCAACGGACGAGCGGCGATTACGAAGTCGATCTGGTTGGTGGTCCCCGTGGGACCTAGGAGGCTACTCGTGGCGGTTGACAGATTGAGCCGAGACGAGACTTTTAAACGCTATTCTGGAGCAGCCCTATGTGTCCACAGTGGTCTTCCAGGAAGCCCGTGCGACGCAGGACTAACCTCGCCTTGTTGCCCTGGTCCATGAGGTCGCGGATGTCTTCGTAAGATGTGACGGCCATCTTGGAAAGGTCCTCAACATAAGGTCCCAGCAGCGGGTGCTCTCGCACGCGCAGGTGACTCTTGTTCTTCGGGTTTAGCAGGTCCCGGACGCGCTCGCAGTAGATCTCCATGTAGCTGACCTTCGGCGCAGACGCAGGGCGGTCAGCGGTGGGCGACGCCGCATAAAGGCTACTCCCAATTTGAATGATATGCCGGTGCTCCAAAAAACATGTGCTTATTGCTGCAAGGTGCGCCTTGGTGAGCGATAGACAGGGAAAAAAGGGAGACGGAAGGATCGTACGAAAAGTGCGGTGATGCATGACGTACGCATCAGGAGATGTGCACATCCAGTTCAATGTTAAATTTAAATTCAGGTCAAATTCTTAGCCAGATTGGTGCTACCCTCTTATAAATAGATGTTAACAATGATGCTAAATTACCTCACATGAATAACTTCTCTTGGGTTGTAACTGAATGATAGCGATGTTGCAGATCTGGCTTCTTCCCAAGACAAGCAGGACTTAAGAATGTTTTCCTGGCGTACGCTTGTGTATCATTTGGTATGCAAGCCAACAACAATTTTCGATAGTAAAGCAAAGAATAAAAAGGATCAAGAATTCCGAGCAAGCTGAGTTACTCAGACTCACTGCTAAAGTTTGTTTTTAGACGCCCGTTAGGTCATCCGGCACTTATCCCCTGTTGACTGCATGTTGATATCGCCAAACAGATTAGAAAACTCAATTTTATGGAAAATTTGTACCTGGCATTTGAGTGAACTGGTTTGAAATGGTTAATACTAGCATTAATGCAATGCCTTGAGGTAGATACAGATCTAGGTCGTAATTCAGCAAGCTGTCTGTATCTCGGCGCACCAAGCACGGCTCTGAGAGGCAGACGCTGCCCGCGAGCATTGGATCGCCATATCAACGCTCGTTTTCCCAGTCACGTGCAAGGCTGGTTCGATCAATGCACTTATCATGACAAATAGGTTACTTATTTTGCCGCGGTTCAGTGAGCTCTTTCGAAAACAAAAGTTCAGATGCTATGCCAGAATTTTTCTGGGTTCTATAGAGATATTGAGGGTCCGTCAACATAGGTTACAAAAAGAAATGGGGTCAATGGCCACCCGATGTTCTTCTGACTATGCTCAACATTCAGTCAAATTCAGTCAGATTCAGTCAGAATCGACAAGTGAGAGCAATTATTTAACATAGATTTGGGCATGCGCGCTCGCAAGTTCTAGGAATAAAAACTTCGACGGCCGGCGTAACAGTCACCGTGGGACGCGTGCCGTTGGCCCTGCGGCTAAAATCAAGCTGGGGCCAACGAACGGTCGAAAATGCTGTCGAATGTGAAATGCCTTTGAACGTTTCAAGGCATTCACCTGTGCCATTTACAGATTGATGATCGGACGTATTAGCATTTACAGCACTGCGATTTGGTGATGGAATCTTGCGGTAGAGCTGGAAGAGTAAAGGCAGGAAATTTATTTTCGTGTTGCTGTGTTTTGAATAGCAAATTTGTTCAGAAGATAACCCCAAATTATCAAGATCAGTTGCACGCCCAAATCGCATGAGCTTTATGACTTTACGAAGTTCTACTTTAAAGCGTATGACCTGATGACTTCCGGAGGCATTATGTCACGATGAACGCTCTCGTGTGCCCGGTGGGTGTTCTCTGAAGCGGGCAACGGCGTTTGGCTTTGCAGAAAACGCTACCCCATAGCTGTTCTTGCTCATAAGGCTGCGAGTGGCTAGGTTCAAAATATTTTATATACTTGTTTTACAAATCGACTTTGCGAAGAGTGAATGACCTCAGGTAGACTGTTTGGCCCTTTTCACTGTTGACGCTATTTTAATCTACTCTGTTGAACACCAGTGAGACTCACTACCTTTTTTCTGGTTAACGGGCTCCGTGGATAGAATACTAGGGGACACACTATAGCCCCAGCCAAAAGCTGAAGAGCCATTCCGTCCAGCGTGGGGTGCGGACCGACTAACCCTCTGACAACACGGAGACGTGTCTCTTGGGCGATCCGGAGGCCATTAAAAAGACATATCATGGGTCGGCCCCGCCCTGACGCGGGAAGCCCTCTGAACGGGACAGTTGGCCCCAGTCGATGGAGAAGCCCTTGCTGGAGTAACGAGTTCCTCAATTGCCGCAGTTGGTCCCATAATTGACGCTCAGAATCTAATGAGCTTCAAAAGCCCTTACTTGGTACGGGGGTGGAGGTACCCCGTTCGGTACTGAGGGCCCTGATTGACACAGGGCCCTCCATTGTCTCATTGTAAACTTCCACACTAAAACCTTTGATCTCCTTTCGCTGTCAGAGGGTCCCGACAAATGCAAGAGGCCCTCTTGAAGTCTGGGTCCTGTTCCGGTCCTCTCTCTATTTAGCAAAGGTTCTCCTGGCTGACTGGAGGGGGCCCTCAGGACCCCTCATTGGGCTCCCTTCGGGTAACCTCGAACATGGCCTCTGGCCGACTCGAAGCCACTTGCCGACACGAAGCGAGCTGTGCGGTGCTGGTTGTCATCGGCCGCTATAGTACGAGCCGGAATTTCAAAAGTGACTTACAGCCAGCACTGTACCTTACATTCAGGCCCTTCATAGTCATGAATCGTCAGTCCCAAGAGACCCTTCGGCCCCTCTTCGGGTCGCCTCGACCACCACCCGTGGGCGACTGGGGGCCTCTCACCAGCGCAGTACAGTACCCCCTACCTCCCTACAGTACCCCCTGTTATGCACTGGGGAGCCCAGACCAATGCAGCGGTTCCTCATTGACTTCGGCGTCGCGACCGATGTAAATCGCAGCTCCGCCTGTGTCCCTGCTTAGGAAATGGGCCGTCATGCCCAGACCGACACGGGGCCGACTGTTCGGTAAATGTAGTGCCTACCTGACATAGAGCTCCAGGGTGCTCCCGTCGCAAAGAGTCCTCTGACTGACATTTGGGGGCCGAGCCCTGCGCGCCTGGTTCCTTAATGCAATTTCCAGCCAGCTCTTTGGACCCTAAATCCTTGGTCGCGAGGGGCTCTTCGGCACCTCGGAACCTAAGGGAGGGAGAGGGGGGGGGGCACGGGCCCCCTGTGACCTCCCCACGGCTTAAGCCGCTGCGAAGGTGTTATGCATTGGCATCTCCTAAAGCGCCACCACAGTGCTAATATTTCGGTGCCGGGACAACCAGACACAAAATGCCGACTGCTTATGGAGTCTGCACAGCCACGAGACAGAAGGCATTCTAGCGCAAGGTACGCTAATGGGACGTTCAGCACACAAACAAACCGGTTTTTAGAGTTGCGGTATTCAAGAGCCATCTCGGAGTAGGTACAATGACAATGTGGTCCAGATAGCCGCGTCGCATGCCCCTCCCACGACAGGCGGTAAGTGCGGCCATGCAGCCAGCGACACTTTCGAACACTGCCCCTGGGCGAATCGGAGGCTGTTGTCCCACGATACATTGCCATACATAGGTCAGCGATCAATCTGGTGCTTGAAGCAGGTGAGCCAGCTGTTATTGGCATGGAGGTTTAGGACTGTAAAATGTCTAGTTTGGTCTAGACTAACCTCCACCGATATCTGGGCGTCTATGTCATTGCTGTTGGACACCCGTTGGAAGAGGTTGCGGCAGATCCTGGGGATGATGCCCTCCTGGTCGTGCTCCGCCTTGCCCATCATCGTGTACGACTTCCCGGCCCCCGTCTGGCCGTAGGCGAATATGCACACGTTGTAACCTGTGTGCAGATCAAAGGCATGCATCAGGACTTGTCCAGGGCGTTTGAAGACTGTCGTTCGATGTACTGACTTCAAATGGACGGAACGTCCAGGACGCCGAGAAGATGTGAATAATTGCATTAGTAACTACAGGAAAGCCCAAGAAGAGCGGCGCGTACTTGGAGGTGTAGGTACAGCCCCGAACCTCACATCGCGCCAATGGGATTTACATGGGAACTAGCGACGGAATACGCACCACATCAAAAGCTTAGAAGCAGTATTGAGCCATACTGGTTAATCAGAAAGATGTCCGAAAAACTTCACGATATGCTTCACGTATCTGATGGACCGAGCGACCTCAGTACACAACGGATCGGCTGTGCCAGGACATTGCGACATATCCTGGAGACAAATGGCAAGTCAGGGCATTGCTGAACCGCATCGCTGGATTGTGCTCATCAGCTGTGTGAGCTAGCGCTGCGTCACCGGTGTTGACTCCGGCTCTGATAGCGGCTGCGAGCGGGGGAGGACGCCATTTCACGTGGGGCGTGACCGCAGTCGGGTCGATCAAGCCAGCTGACGTCAGCCCAGAGGGCAGCGGCGCTTGACTCCGGAGCCGAAGGTCAGTTGGAGGTCAGGCGGCGTCTCGGCCGGTGAGAGGTCGGCTCGACGCCCTCACCGGCCGCCCGTCGTCACCATCCAGCTGCTGATCGGCCGCCGCCGCTCGCCCGTCGGAATCGCAATGACCGCCAACGGCACGTGACGAGAATGATCGCAATCATAAAAGTGGACGGAGTCGGAATGTGAGGCCACTGTCCTGGGAAACGGGGACCACAACACCTCGGCTGGTGTGGCGGAGTGGAACGGAAGGTACGTACGTAAACCGGTTCGGAATGCTTTGCTTCCCTATGGAACAGTCACTACCACCAAACGCATTCTTGTTCCCGACGCATTATAAAAAGGTTACCGAAAGGGACAAAGAAACAAACCCGCCTCAATCCACTCGAAACCCCGCAGGCATAAAAATGGGTGTGTACATGTCAACAAATATCTGAACAAACAAGCGCAGTCATTCTCATGCACACGGAATGGATTGCTATCACGCTATGCACATGCAATGCGATGCCCGCCGCTTGCTGGTCGCATACATTTACAGGAGCAATGGACGAGCTTCCGTAATGGACCAAAGCATAGCGCGAATGACATGAAACACTACACAATCGGTTACTTGGCTTCACAATAATCACCGTAGTCACGGACCTCAATCTACTTTTAACGTTGTGTCACAGGACGACATTTAGTCAAACGATAAAGACAGACCTCGAAGGCTGCTCGAGATCTAACGACCTTTCAGGGCATGACGTGACCCTAGCCCCCAACAATCAATCCGCAGCGCGCCGCGGCAGCTTTTGACGCAACGTACCTTGAAACGCGTGATCCAGCATCTCAACGCCGATGTCCTGGTACACCCGCTCTTGGGAGGCAAACTGGGGCGCCGATGGCTGAAAATGCAACACCAACCAGTCAACTGACAGCCACCCGCTCTTGGAAGGCAAACTGGGGCGCCGACGGCTGAAAATGCAACACCAACCAGTCAACTGATAGCCACCCGCTCTTGGAAGGCAAACTGGGGCGCCGACGGCTGAGAATGCAACACCAACCGGTCAACTGACAGCCACCCGCTCTTGGGGGACAAACTGGGGCGCCGACGTCTGAGAATGCAACACCGACCGGTCAACTGACAGCCACCCGCTCTTGGAAGGCAAACTGGGACGCCGACGGCTGAGAATGCAACACCAACCAGTCAACTGACAGCCATCCGCTCTTGGGGGGCAAACTGGGGCGCCGACGTCTGAGAATGCAACACCAACCAGTCAACTGACAGCCACCCGCTCTTGGGAGGCAAACTGGGGCGCCGATGGCTGAGAATGCAACACCAACCAGTCAACTGATAGCCAGCCATTCAGACAGCATGGTCCTAAACTGCCAAGGTATTGGTCCATATTGGCTGCCCCTCAGTTAACTACCATCGCCGAAAATATATTATCTGCACCAGTGAGTTCACCTGCATCACACAACTAGCTTTTCGAAGTCATGGCGATCACATGTATTTACATGACCATTGCATGGCCACTAGCTGATCACCTCCAGCTCTGGTGCGACAGTGTAGAATAACACGCGTGTTCATTGCCACTGTCCGCCCATGCCCCCACATCAAGGTTTGATACCTACATCAGCCGAAATATACATTTTCAGCGCATCGTTTGGCGACCTGTGTCAAATACGCCCCATCCAAGGAGCTTATTTGATAAGGGGCGTGAATTTCGATTCATGCACCCGTGGCGGGGTGGGTTCGACTCGCGTCAGGTGCTTGCTATTGGGCCCTGCCTGGGACGGCTTGTGGTCGGTGGCAGTGGCGGCGCTAGGTCAGGTGACGTCGGTGGGCAGGACAGGCCGTACCGAACGTCGCGGCAGGTGAAACTTTCGTCCTGAAATGCTGCCATCGGCGCGGGTCTCCTCGATGGTAGCGTCAGGGTTACGCAACAAGAACTGCTTGGGGTGGGCGCCGATCCCACAAATTCGTCCAGTCAAAATGTTCGGACCAAATCTTTAACAGCATACGTTCTTGGACAGCATAGCATATTCACATCTAGCAGCAGGCTGCGAAGTTACTAGTCTGAGCAAACAGATCACTTGTGTTGGATTCAGTACTAGCTCCAAATAGTGATAAGACAATGCCTGTTTACAACAATGTCATCCACCGGCAAACAAATATCATACCGCATTTGGTGATCATCACGCCCTCTCCACCATTGTAGTCTAACTTCCGGAGGATGAGAGGATGCGTTGGTGTTAACTACTGCACTATAAGGTCGTGTGTCCTTCCACGTGGCGTTGGACCACCTGTGCCGAGATCTTCGGTGGCTGTGAACTCCAGCCTTAACAGCGCACATGGCACGAGTCGTCGGGGCGTGGTCAGGCGTGACGTCACGAGTCGGCGTCACGCCCACGTCAGCAGCGGGATATGTCTTAAGTGACGGGTTGGCGATGGTGGCACTCGGTCAATACAGGGCCACTGAGTGCTAGTGCTCGAAAGGTTCCCGAGGTCTGACGCGGCCGGTGCCGCTCAGGGCCTTTATCACCGAAATAGACCGGTCGATAACCGGCGAGCAGAGGCGCCAAACAAGGCTCCGGCGGGCAGAGGCGCCAAACAAGGCCATTACACCGAGATCGAGAAAATAACGGGTGGCCTTCACCAGAACAGCTGTTTTTGGACAAGAAGCGCGTCTCGGTGAAGCAGTGATAACGCTGGCTCGCTGAGATTAGCCGATCCGTTGGATGAGCAGCGTCCGAATTAAACCCCAGCCATGCACCAGAGACCATGCAGCGGGCCTGGGCGCCAGTGACGTTTAAGCCGAGGGCATTGACCGCGGCCACAGCTTTGATCTAAAGGTCAGGCGACAAGCGCATGGCGTATGCCAGCTTATCGTCGGCTGACAATAGGTCCCAATGCTGGCGTATATCACAGAGCAAAAGCAGTGCTACATTATACCGTTGACAACGATACAGGCGAGCAATAAGAGGGAAACAGGGTGCGTATGTTGCCTTAATTGCCCCCAAAATTAGCAGGTGGGATGGACAAAGAGTTCCATAGGCGACGCCTTATATCAGTGAAGAGTACCGCACAATTGGTAGAACATCACAGGATAGCTGTGATCTACAGCGGTGAAGAGTACCGCACAATCGGTAGAACATCACAGGATAGCTGTGATCTACAGCGGTGAAGAAAACCGCACAATCGGTAGAACATCACAGGATAGCTGTGATTTACAGCGGTGAAGAGAATCGCACAATCGGTAGAACATCAGAGGATAGCTGTGATCTACAGCGGTGAAGAGTACCGCACAATCAGTAGAACGTCACAGGATAGCTGTGATTTACAGCGGTGAAGAGAACCGCACAGTCGGTAGAACATCACAGGATAGCTGTGATCTACAGCGGTGAAGAGTACCGCACAATCGGTAGAACATCACAGGATAGCTGTGATTTACAGCGGTGAAGAGAACCGCACAGTCGGTAGAACATCAGAGGATAGCTGTGATCTACAGCGGTGAAGAGAACCGCACAATCGGTAGAACATCAGAGGATAGCTGTGATCTACAGCGGTGCAGAGTACCGCACAATCGGTAGAACATCAGAGGATAGTTGTGATCTACAGCGGTGCAGAGTAACGCATAATCGGTAGAACATCAGAGGATAGCTGTGGTCTACAGCGGTGAAGAGAACCGCACAATCCGTAGAACATCAGAGGATAACTGTGATCTACAGCGGTGAAGAGTACCGCACAATCGGTAGAACATCAGAGGATAGCTGTGATCTACAGCGGTGAAGAGAATCGCACAATCGGTAGAACATCAGAGGATAACTGTGATTTACAGCGGTGAAGAGAACCGCACAATCGGTAGAACATCAGAGGATAGCTGTGATCTACAGCGATGCAGAGAACCGCACAATCGGTAGAAAATCAGAGAAAAGCTGTGATCTACATCAGTACAGAGAACCGCACAGTCGGTAGAGCATCACAGGATAGCTGCACTCAGCACTGCATATGTGAGCGTTGAAAAGGTTCATTATACATACTGCCGGGTTACAAGTCACATTTCAAGCGAGTTTGCTGGACCTTACGTTATGAACAGAGGGCAGTTTATCTAAAATAGAACCCGATGCGAAAATTTAAAACAAGTTTATTTTCACACCTGTGGATGTAGCTTCGTTTCGTTTATGGAAAAAGGCTCCTTAAGAGAAAAGGAGCACTCCATGCCCAGGTAAATGTCAGGACACTCATGCATTCATAATTGGCAGAAAGCAAGGGCGTAGTACGCCTTCTACGACTCTTTCTCGTAACGATCAAATCATATCACTGAAAATGCAAACAGAAAGGAGATGTGTGCCTACCAAAATGGCTGACATCAATGTAGGGATAGGAGTGCCGCGAGCACCCGTTTTTAAAAGCACAACGCCAGGGGAGAGTATACGCACAGGAAAAACAGCTTGCGGCAAGCGGAACTCCATGTACTCTGCAAGCCGAACCGAACGAAACCCCAGTATGGGCAAAGCGGCTCCGGGGTCGCCTGCGGCCAAAAAAAAGACAAAAAAACCAACTGCGTAAGGTTTTGAATGAGCCCTATGGGGAGTGCAAGACTGGCGGTCATCGTAAAGGACGGTGAGAGCAATTTTCCCTGGATGGTACCAATGTACCGCTGATGTTGCGGCAAGCTTACGAAAAACGCTGCTAGTGAGGACTAAGCAGATACATCCAAACCTACTTCCGCGATGGCGGTGTCCTGGTGTGGCTCGATCTCGCCAAACGTCATTATAAAAAGCCATCACACCTGAATTGGAACTGCGCGCCAAGGGCACTGGAACTGAGCATCAAAAAGCTAGAAATTCCAAAGGTTTCATGTGCCGATTATCAGTCTGGTGTACCTAAGACTCAGCCCATAACAAAGTTTTAGACCTGCTAAAAGGTCAGGCCTACAAGGATGGCCTTGACGCCAGAAATGTTTTGTGAACCGAAAAAAGGTGAGCGCCAAACCAAGGTAAAGCGATACGAAGATATATAGCTACATGAAAAAACTTGAGCTGAAGGCGCTGTCGAAGGGGCAGGGACCATGGATCACCCCTAGAGTACTGAGCTGAAGGCGCTGTTGAGGGGCAGGGACCATGGATCACCCCTAGAGTACTGAGCTGAAGGCGCTGTCGAAGGGGCATGAACCATGGAACACCCCTAGAGTACTGAGCTGAAGGCGCTGTCGAAGGGGCAGGGACCATGGAACATCCCTAGAGTACTGAGCTGAAGGCGCCGTCGAACGGGCGGGGATCATGAAACACCCCTAGAGCACTGAGCTGAAGGCGCTTTCGGATGGGCAGGGACCATGGAACACTCCTAGAGTACTGAGCTGAAGGCGCTGTCGAACGGGTAGGGATCACGGAACATCCCTAGAGTACTGAGCTGAAGGCGCCGTCGAACGGGCAGGGATCACGGAACGCCCCTTGAGCACTGAGCTGAGGGCGCTGTCGGATGGGCAGGGGCCATGGAACGCCCCTAGAGTACTGAGCTGAAGGCGCTGTCGGATGCGTACCCATAGAATACTGAGTGACGGCCAAGCAGTTTTTGTGTTTTCAATGTTATGAGCATCCTGTTACAAAACCACCGGGATGGTAAATGTGTTAAAAAAGTCTCGTCTCCTTCTGGTAACATTTTGACATATGGTTTGTGTCGAAGCGATCAAAACTTAACATGACGCACTTCACACCCGCCACCGAGCTGCACAGCACTCTCACAGCCTTGAATATCGTCAGGACCACAAGTGAGGTAACAATAATGCACCCTGAAAACATTGCTAAGACCACAACAAGGCACTCGATGGCTTAACGTCACCTATCTGCTTTGAAACGGTGCGTGACCGTACGGACTACGACCAACGACCAACGAGGACTACGACCAACGAGGCCATGACGGCCGGCATCACCAGCACCTGGTGACCGCTGTCAGGCGAGGCCGTACGTCACCAGCACCTGGTCACCGCTGTCAGGCGAGGCCGTCACTGTCACCAGCACCTGGTCACCACTGTCAGGCGAGGCCTTCACAGTCAACAGCACCTGGTGACCGCTGTCAGACGAGGCCGTACGTCACCAACACCTGGTGACCGCTGTCAGGCGAGGCCGTCACTGTCACCAGCACCTGGTGACCGCTGTCAGGCGAGGCCGTACGTCACCAGCACCTGGTGACCGCTGTCAGGCGAGACCGTCACTGTCACCAGCACCTGGCCACCGCTGTCAGGCGAGGCCGTACGTCACCAGCACCTGGTGACCGCTGTCAGGCGAGACCGTCACTGTCACCAGCACCTGGTGACCGCTGTCAGGCGAGGCCGTCACTGTCACCAGCACCTGGTGACCGCTGTCAGGCGAGGCCGTTGCTGTCACCAGTTCACTATTAACTCTTTTAAGACAGCTTACCCACCATTCGGCCCACAAGTGGTAATTCGTGAGCCACCCGCGTGTAGCTTACCTCAATTGACCAATATGAATAGTCGAAGTTGAAGCTCTTGATGTTGTCGTTGATTTGTTTCGGATTGGTGATAACTGAAACAGACGTTTACGTAAGACTCAGTTCCACATGGGCTCACACACACGCACCAGCAAGCCACGTATTGAAACTAATTATAAGGCCCAAGGATTGTTTGTTTGTATAGACTCCATAGGTACCTTGAGGGTCATATCTCACAAAAATATGCGGTGGCCAGTTTGATCTGATCTGGTCAGCGAACAGTCAGCTGGCTTAATAGCGCCACACTTGATAATCCCACATCGGATGCGATACGTCCGGCCTTCCAGCCAACGTAGACCTTTAAATTGTTCTGACTTATTCCGGTCCGGTGTTGTTTTACCCTTATAAGCAATGGCACAGGAAACAAGAAGTCCAACCGCTTAAAAAAATACAACGCGTCATTTTTTATTCGAGCCTTGCGTGATTGTGCGAGCTTCTAACAAGCAGCCCGACCCTGAGCAGTCCCAAAAGTGCGGCGGCACACAACGCCTGCCTTCAGCCCCGGGTCACCCAAGGCACGTGGGCAGGCTTGTTGACGCCCCGGAGCCGGGCACGGGCTCATTACCCGCCACCACTGCTGGCGAGACGGCCGGCGCGAGCGCTGAGACGCGACAAACACACTCCCAGAGATGGGTATTGTGATGCCGGGGAGAGTCACGCCTGGCGGCGAGCTCGAATAGCAGGTATTGCCGACTGGCAGCGGGGACACGCGCGGTGTGCTCCGCTAATCTCCAGACCCGCTTCAGAGAGAGGGGTGCTGATCTCGAGCGCCGCTTCAGTGGGCGGGGTGCTGATCTCGAACGCCGCTTCAGTGAGAAGGGGTGCTGAGCTCGAGCACCGCTTAAGCGAGATAGGGGACCCATTGGCTTCAGGGTCAGTAGTCAAATTCCTCCGTCTTAGATACGGGACGATATGACAGGATATGTTAGCGGCCTCATCATTGTTATGGTATATTGTGGAAATCTGGTAGCAATATATTTATATATATATATATATATATATATATATATATATATATATATATATATATATGTGTATATATATATATATATATATATATATATATATATGTGTGTATATATATATATATATATATATATATATATATATATATATATATATATATATATATATATATGTATGTATATATATGCACATAATGTATATACGTATATTGTCACGACCACACCCGTCCCAGCTCTTTGACAATAACGGGTACGCATTCACGGAGTCCGTCGCTCGCGGTAGTACGGCCACACAGAGCAATTATACGCGTCTTCCTCAGCCCACCAATGAATCGAGCTTAGGTTCATCGCATTCTTGCTTCAAACTGACTCCCATAACTAAACGGCGTAATTGAAAGCACGGCCTGAGCGCGGCGCGGCTAGACGGGGCGTGAGCCGGCCCCCGGCCGGCGGCCCGCGGGCCTGCCGCCGCCGAGTCGGGCCGCCACCCCCAGGACCGTCCGGCGCGTCACGGCTGCTGACTCACGCGGCACCAGCGACGGGCGTCGCCGGCCGGACCCGGCCCGTCCAGACGGCGTCACCGGCATCGATCAGCGGCGCCGGCGGCCCGGCCGACCCGGCGGGCCAGGCCGACCCGGCGGTGCCTCGCCGGCCGGTGTCGCTCGCCGGGTGGGCCGAGGCAGCCTCCCACGCTTGGGCACTGGCGTCTTCCTGACACGGAGCGACGCGCTGGACGGGTCCATAAGGAGCGCGAGGACAAGGACAAGGAGAGGCGCGAGACAAGTCTTCTGTCCCCTGGGGCCCCGTCTCACCCCAAGGCTGACAACTCCCTCCCAGGGGCGGGCACTGGTGTTTCTCTGACGTCTCTCGCGCCCCGCGACACAAGTCTTCTGTCCCCGAGACCCCGTCGCACCCCTGGGGCGATAACTCGCCCCCAGGCACGAGACAACAATGGACCCTCATTGGGCCAAAACGGAGGTACTGGTCATGCATCGGCTCAGTATTTGACTATTTTCTGGTGTCCAGGGATGGTCCGGATAATGCTCGATGAATTCCCTGAATGTTATGTGAAGGTCAGATCAGGTCAGAGTCAGGTCCAGGTGAAGCTGGACGCAAATACGATCTACACACTTGTGAAATGTACATTGACTGGTTAAATGAACCAAGTATAAATGCGTGGGGAAGGGAATAGCCACAGGAGGCGAAAACATAGGAATAAATCACCCAAAAAGACAAAGGAATAGGAATAAGGAGAAAAGTCGGCAAGCCACGCCAAGAGTCCTTTGCGAGAGGTGCACGTACACAAGTGCCCGACGGGCTGCGCAAACAGAGTGGATGCAGAATGTAGGGACTCCACTCACTTGTGGTGTTTCCATCCATCTCGATGATGCCGTCGCATTCACGGCTGACCTCGCGGGCATTGAAGGGCCGGACCCGGACGGCCACCTTCACGGACGACATGGCGCCGTCGACCGCAGCGACGCCTGGCGGCACAGACACGAAACATGTCGGCCGGTTCGCCCAGCTACGTCCAGCAGGTATCAGCGCGGCAACACTAACTCTAGCTTTCTCAACTGTATTTACGCGGTGGCCTTATGTGGAATTTTCATGTAGCTGTTTGTGGAGGGCTTTGTTTCGTGTTCCATTTGTGTGCTGGGCACCAAATACACTCAGACTCAACAGAGACAGTCGAAACTGAGCGCAACCGTTTTTGGAACCATGTTTGCATAAAAGAACATCGATTTTGACGACATAGAGTGAGCATAGGCGACGCCTTTCTGAGCGCCAGGGCAAGCCGGGTCCGGGTAGGCAATCAATGCCAAACCCGCCGTACATCGGCGCTATGCGGGATAGTTTACCACCAGCCGGCCGGCGACACTGACGCCATGCGGGATATTTTACCATCAGCCGGCCGATGGCGCTGACGCCATGCGAGATAGTTAACCACCAGCCGGCCGATGACACTGACGCCATACGGGATAGTTTACCACCAGCCGGCCGGCGACACTGACGCCATGCGGGATAGTTTACCACCAGGCGCCCGACGGCACTGGAAAGTGAATCCCAATAAAGCGAGTGCTATAATGGAGGCCACAGTGGCGTGTGTAACTCTCGTTTTATGCACCACATATATGCACACACGCACACACGCACACACACACACACACACACACACACACACACACACATATATATATATATATATATATATATATATATATATATATATATATATATATGTGTGAACATAGAATACATAAAAACCATAAACCACAGCAACTCAGCACGACCAAGGAGGAATTCGAACAAGTAATCCGGGTTGTGACGCATACATGGCTGATAGGCAAGCGTCATCCAGTCGTTCTCAGGATTCCATAACATCGGACGACGGCCGGAGAGTTGATTGGCCGAAACTATGTGTACAAACTAACTACCAGACGGGGGCGAAAGTCTGAATAATTCACAACTAGTCATCCACGATACAGTCATCCACAATACGAGAGTTATCCTCATATATAACGCTCATGTTGCCAAGTTTTATCTACATGCATCTAAGATGACCTGGCCTTACCGCATTTGACATAATTGTTTACCATGCGGTCCGATCGGAGAGAGCAAAACCATACTGAGAGTGCTCTTGGAGCCATGTTGGAAGCCATGGCAAACATGTGTTTTCAGTCATTACCTGAGAATGAAATGCAGCCTACTTGAATTGACATAAAGTAATTGTTCATAATAACCTATGAGCGGTTGAGTCTACAATTTTCGCGAACTATATAACAATTTGAGACTGGATATTCAGCTACCGGATATTTCGGCTTTATGCGTTGAGCAGCTGAGGCGTCATGCTGGGAAAGCTGGCGGACCTTGTGGAATTTGGTCGGCTGTCTGGCCGGGGACCGAATCTGGCCGTCTTGGTCGGCTGTATGGCCGTGGACCGGATCTGACCGTCTTGGCCGGCTGTCTGGCCGGGGACCGGATCTGACCGTCTTGGCCGGCTGTCTGGCCGGGGACCGGATCTGGCCGTTTTGGTCGGCTGTCCGGCCGGGGACCGGATCTGGCCGTTTTGGTCGGCTGTCCGGCCGTGGACCGGATCTGACCGTCCGGCTAGGGCTTGCGGCATTGCTTTGGTACATTGTTGCGATATTCACGTTCATTAGCCATGAATGCCATCCGTGATATGGAACTACCGCCTTGACGCAGGCGCACGCACGTACCACGCAGACTATGCGGTGCACGGCACGCTGTGGGCTACAAAAAGGTGACCATTGGCACAGAGCTCTGAGCCCGGCACAGCATGCCAATGCCTCGTCACCGGCCGATAGCTCCGCAAACTGCAGCTGCCGGCAAGGGTCAGCCGGATGCTCTCCCCGGCCAGCGGCGCATCCCCTGCCGGCTGTCAGCTGAAGCGGCTGTAACTACGCAGAGCGTGTCCGATCTCTGACGCCCGACGCCGCCTGTCCGGCAGCACCGCACGGTCGTCATCGCGTGTCGTACCCGGTAGATGGAACCCGTTACCGGTAATTCCCGCAATCTATTCCTGGCCTCCATTGCCTTGCCGGAGAAAAACGCCAGCTCTTGGCTGAGCTTCATCACGCGATCGCTCGTTATCGCCCGGTCACTGCCGTCGGATGCCTGCCGTCCGACGGGCGGCTGGTATGGCCGGGGGCGTGCGGGCGTGGGCGTCCCCGGACCATCAGCCGCGCCGGACCCGGACTTTAGCTGCACAGAGGCCGGCGCATCGATCAATAGCAGGGGCAGCGGGCGAGCGGCGGACGGATCGGGGCCAGGGTCGGGTCGTCCGCCTCCCCCTCCCCGCAGGAGCGTCACAGGGCGGGAGAGCCGGAGCCGCAGTCACCTACCCGGTGCGGATCCGCAGCCGTCCGCTTCGTCACAGAGCCACGGCGCGCGCAGCGCCCGAGACCGGGCCACGTGACGCCGAGGCTACGGTTTCCTAGATCAGTCCGGAAAACAGCATCCGAGACCGGGCCACGTGACGCCGAGACCCTGGTGCCCTAGATCAGCCAGACAGAAAACAATCAATCGAAGAGCAGTTTCGCCACGGAAGCAATGGGGCATGTTCTCAGTGCTTGGGTCAGGTGGTGAAGAGGGCATAGCCTATGGCCACGATCGCAGATGAAACCAAGCTGGTGCCGGAGACGGAGTGGTCTAGAGAAGAACGATCTGCTGCTGGTGGCTGCACTGCCCCAAACTGCTTCTCCCTTCACTGCTGTCAGCACAGACATGCAGACAGACAACGACTATGTAGTCGGGCCATCCCACCAGCGAAACAATCCCATCGAAGGTGGTGACTGTTGTGACAGTGAGAGTCTTTGAGATAACACACAGGCTCAAAATGGAGGTGATACTGGAACTGTCGCCATCGACACAGAACCGGGCGAGCCTTGGCCGATCGTCGAACTAAGTCACCTTGAGCCAACGGAATATATAAATCGTTATTCAAAGATAGTTGGGAGTGAGCAGAAAACATTTGGAAGCGGAATGCGATGGCCAGGACGCAGCGTTCGCACAATCACAATGATCACACGTGCCCTTCTTATACTGAGCCTCAACGGCAGTCTGATTTGCCGCAGCATAGGTTCGAACGTTTTCCATCTAAAGAGAACTGAAGTGGTTTGGCAGTGCTTCGAATGTAACAGCGAGCTCTTGATCTTTATAATCCCCGTAAGTATTGCATGGTCAACGGTGAATAGCGAAAAATGCATAGCCTATGTGAGAGTCAAGTATTTAAAGTGCAATTGTGATATTATCGGAATTCTAGCAGCCCACTTCTGAACATGTAATACCAGTGTATATGGCCTAATTACCGCCTATAGGCATTATACGTTCTGATAAGCCGTAACCCGTGCTCAACAATGCGTGCCACATACCTGCAACTACGAAGTGATTGCCAAAGCGATATGGTGTGATGGGACGACGTCGGCCTACTGCGAGACGCCTCAGAAAGGCTGCCCTTACACACGTCAGTGCGGAGCGGGACGGAAGGAGGCACGCAAACCGTGAGCACCGCGAAAGGGCATCTGAAAAGCCTCAAATATCACGGACGATACACATTTTGTTAACACCAATGCTCGCGCCGGGTACGGTGGCGGACCGTCCGCACACAGATCATGTAAGAGCAGACCGACAGCGCTGCGCGTGCATCCTAGCTCCGAGCGACAGGCCATCCGTGCACGGATCATGTAAGAGCCGACCGACAGCCCTGCGCGTGCATCCTAGCTTCGAATCCCTTACTAGGAATGACCGGTGCCTAACTGGCTCGAATGCACTGTTCCTGATCGAAAACTTGTGGTTTCAATAAAGCCACAGAAAACTAGTTTGCCAATTGCTTGCTTTCATTGGCGCAAGAGGAGGAGACTTAAACAGTAGTCACCGTGACGGTACAATGAGCTGATAAACGCAGCCATAAGTCAACCAGCCGTGGTATGGCAGCGGCAACTCGAACTTGAGTGCAGACGTTTATGATTTAGTAATGGTCTCGTTACAAGACACATGATATGGCAGATATGCTTCACGAACTTTCGCGACAGTCCCCCACCCTTGATATAAGTCACACGAACTTTAATTGTGCCCTGCAAGCTATTCGTGACGCTGCTCTCGTCCGGCGCGTGTACCGTTATCTGGAGACACAACCACTCCGCACAACTCGGGCCAAGCTCGTGCAAGATATCGATTGTCTTTGGGCTATTCGACGCATCAGCGTGTTAGGTTGGTCGGATTGCTCACGGAATTCGCCCACCGAGAAAAGGGTTGGTGGGCACAAGCTTCGTGACCACAAATCACCATTCCACTCAGGACACAGCGCGTACTTGAGCATTCACAGCACTCGGTCGCACATGCCATTTTTCGTCCGTGTTTTAGTTGCATCCATGCTATTGTTAGATCGTCCAGGTATTCTCAGTCTTTGTGCCATCGGTTTCGACCAAAGAAAATTACAGGTAGTAAAAAGTAAAGTAAGCAGGTAAAGTACAAGTATCCGTAGACTTCTAACTTTTTGAAGAAAATGGGTCGGACTTTGGAGAAACCCTTGTTGAGATATTGTGTTGGTTGGTTTAAGTCATTTTGTTTTGCTCTTTCACCAAACTTATCTTGCGAAAATACAGCCCTGGATCTAATATGCATGAACTGGATTTAGGACTTAAGGACTGGAAGCGCCGTCGATGAATTACAGGAAAATAACTGGCCCGGCTGGCCTGCTGGAATGGGGATACTGTCTGCTTAGATTTCACATCAAAACATGAAGTCCTAGTAGTTTTGAAACGTAGTTTACCCATTCAAAGCTTTGATTGGACCGACTCTGCTTGTGCGATACCCCAGGTTGCTCAAATTGTTGGTTACTTCTCAATCCAGTCACCCCGATCATCGTCTTTCACGCCTCTTTGTCGATCATTGCATCCCGCATCCCTAATCACTAATATTACCATGATAACACTTGAGATG